TCCTAAGCCTGACCCTAGTCCCCTTGGAGACAACCACTCTCCACGCCTGCTCCTCCTTCGCAGGTGTCCTGCTAGGCAGGACACCTACCTGAAGGAGTTCCGTCCTGAGGGCTTCATTTTCCCCCTTTAGAGTGTCAACCTCACTCCTCAACTGCCCCAGCTGCCTTAACAGCGTGGCAAGGAGGTCGTCCTTCCCCACACTCCCCTCCTCTTCCCCCACGGCACAACGATCCAAAGCGGCCATTTTCCTTGGTCTCTAGCGGGAGCACGATCGCACGACCTTCTCCAAGCTGGGTCAGAGGTCACGACTAACTTAAATGTCTACTCCGCGAACAGTAGAAGTATGAAAAACAAAATGGATGATATTAGGACCTTGGTATGTACCGAAAAAAATCGATATAATAGCATTCACTGAAACATGGATCAACCTAGACTCACATGAGTTACCGGTCGAATACCAAATTGCGGGTTAAAAATTGTTCCATACCGATAGGCAGACCAGGAAAGGAGGCTGAGTAGCAATCTATATTAGGGATAATCTGAAGTGTGACATAAATAAGGAAATAAAAACTGAGCGGAATACAGAAACAATTTGGATGGAATTAATCGACGGTAGGGAAAAATTAATCACAGGAGTAATATATAGACCTCCCAATCTTGATAGAGTCAATGAGCGACTTATCTGGGATGAAATGCGCAGGGCTTCCATACACAACAAAGTCTGTATAGTAGGCGACTTTAACCTTGGCCAAATAGATTGGACTGACCTTACAGGTAACTCAGACTCAGAGGATTTTCTAGAGACGATCCAGGACTGTTTCCTAAGTCAACATATAACTGAATCCACCCGGGGTAATAATATACTCGATTTAGTTCTGTCGAACAAAGAAAACCTCATTAGCAATGTCGAGGTAGGGAACGAACTTGCAAACAGCGATCACAAAGAAATTCGATTCCAGTTAGATTTTCAGGGCAGACGTAAGGAAAATTCCACTAAAGTACCAGATTTCAGAAGGGCAAACTTTGACAGTTTAAAGAGGCAGCTGAGAGATGGGGTGTCGCGCTTAGCCGTGAACCTGACTGATGACTCCGACCTGAAAACGAGATCTGAGATTGCCGAGTTCCACGACAATTTAAATAATGAGTTACTTAATGCACAAAGGCAGAACATACCATACAAAAAACTCAGATCAGACAACAATGACCCTAAATGGATAAATAATTATTTAAAGAACATCATTGGCCAAAGGAAGGCTATAGGTAGAATGATAAAGCGTGGCGAAATTTACCTCCAGGATTATTATAAGATATTGGCGAGTAGGGTTAAAACCGAGATAAGGAAAGCCAAGAGGAATAATAAGGTAAGGATAGCAAGGGAGGCGAAGACAAACTCCAATGGATTCTACCAAATGTATCAAACTAAAACACGAGAAAAGATTGGACCAATACGGTCAGATACCGGTGGAGAAATGAGCAATAATTTGAATAAATACTTTTCAACAGTTTTCACCACAGAAAATTTAAACATGATACCCGAGGCACCGACTCTATTCAGAGATAGTGAAGAAAACAAATTAAGCGAGATAGTAGTGACTAGTAACGATGTTAGTAAGCAGATAGACAAACTAAAGCCTAATAAGTCACCAGGTCCCGATGAGATATTTGCCAGAGTATTAAAGGAATGTAAGGAAGAGCTTAGTATGCACCTTAGCAAAGTTGTTTAACATGTCCTTAAAAACAGGTGTAGTACCAGAATCCTGGAGGATAGCGAATGTAATACCGATTTTCAAGAAGGGGGATAGATCACTATCCTCTAACTGCCGCCCAATCAGTCTAACATCAATAGTAGGCAAATTACTGGAAGCAATCATTTCAAACTCTATTCGAAATCACCTAGAGAAGCACCGATTGATCAATGATTCCCAGCATGGCTTCACAAGCGGACGTCCTTGTCTAACAAATCTATTAACATTCTTTTCATCAGTTTTCGAATCGGTGGACAAGGGGCACAATTATGATGTGGTATATCTCGACTTTAGCAAAGCCTTCGACAGAGTCCCCCACGAAAGACTAATTAGAAAGGTACAAGCACATGGCATCAAAGGTAACATCCTTAAATGGATTAGGGCGTGGTTACAGGACAGGAAACAGCGAGTGAGCATCATTAACGGCACTAAGTTCCATTGGAGCAACGTTACAAATAGAGTTCCCCAAGGCTCAGTACTTGGACCATTATTATTTATTATATACATAAACGACATAGATATCGGCATAGACAGTAACATAAGTAAATTTGCTGATGACACTAAAATAGGACGTGTTATTAAATCTGACAAGGACTCCGCAAAACTACAGGAAGATCTAAACAAATTTTTCGAATGGTCTGAAAAATGGCAGATGAAATTCAACGTGGACAAATGTAAAGTACTCAGTATAGGAGATGTAAACAGGGAAACCAGATACCAGATGAACAACAATGCCATAGAGAAATCCGACTGCGAGAGAGATTTAGGAGTAATGATAAGTAGGAACCTTCAGCCAAGTAAACAATGTGTTTTTGCTCGTAACAAGGCTAATAAAATACTTGGGTTCATACAAAGGAGTGTTAGTTACAAGACTAGCCAGGTCATCCTAAAACTGTATCTTGCACTTGTGAGACCACACATGGATTACGCAGTTCAGTTCTGGTCACCGTATTACAGAATGGATATAGAATCCTTGGAAAGAATTCAGAGGAGAATGACAAGACTAATCCCGGGCATTAGTGACCTTGAGTATAGAGACAGGTTAAAGCATCTTAATTTGCCCTCCCTCGAGAGACGCAGAGCGAGGGGCGACCTGATAGAGGTGTAGTGTAAGTCAGGGCTAAACAAAGGGGACATTACAAAGGTACTCAAACTATCCAACCAGGAGGGAACTCGTAACAATGGTTTTAAATTAGACAAATTTAGATTTAGGCGGGAAATAGGTAAACACTGGTTTGGAAACAGAGTAGTGGATGAATGGAACAAGTTACCAAATATCATCATTAACTCGAATACGCTGAATAGCTTCAAACATAGGTTGGATGCTTATATGAGCAATAGGGGTTGGGTGTAAACGGGACTGCCCAGTTTGGGCCAATAGGCCCGCTGCAGTTTCCTCCATTTTTATGTTCTTATGTTAATGGTATTTAACTAAAATATGATTTTTTTCCTGGTAAGAATTTTTTTATCTGTGACTTTATTTTCGTTCACCTGACTGACCATATACTGACCATCCACTACATCCTTGACCACTGAAGGGTCAAGACGTACCTGGCGCTCCTCTGGGAGCAGCCAGGTCAACTGTTAAGTTGGCCCATACCAACCCCCTCCCCTGAACCCTCCTCCCCACCGGAATATCAACAAGTTCTCACCAGAATTTACAATTTCATTTAGAAAAGGAATGGAACCAGTGTTGAACAGAGGTGAACAGTGGTGAACAGTGCTTAAGTCAGTGAGAACAACTCAACAGTAACAGACGAGTCGTACCCAAGGTAACCTTCACACAGTGAGGTCCCAGGTACCCAGTGATAACGGCCAGGGAGACCCAACAACAACCAGCGATGTGTTAATCCGTCTACGATAGGAAGGACTGGGACCACACCTCACTCATATAACACCATCTGTGAGGGAATTACTACACCACATGTCCCTCATAACACCATATGTGAGGGAATTACTACACCACGCGATGCCCCTCAAAACACATCTGTGAGGGAGTTACTACGCCACGTGAGGCCCCTCCTAACACCCTCTGGGAGGGAGTTACTACATCACGTGAGGTCCCTCATAACACCATCTGTGAGGGAATTACTACACCACGTGAAGTCCCTCCTAACACCATCTGGGAGGAAGTTACTACACCTACATTAATCTGTATGTTCCTTTACCTTTCTCTAATGAAGACTTTTGTTAAATCACCAATGTATGTAATAAGTCATTTATGACCAGTGTATATTTTCAGCCTTCGGGCTGCAGAACTTTTTCAATAAACCGTTAATTATTATTATTATTATTATACTACAGTACATAGACCAAGCAATGTACAAACAATGGTAAAGCAGACACATGTGCCAAGGGTAGCTCTAGTAACCTTATTTTTATTAGTTTTACACTTCTATCCATACAGAATATGTAATTAATATCGGATCACGCGAACATTAGGCACCCCAGGTTATTCCATCTGGTGATTAGCCATCCTATTACTATTATACTTGGGAGTTTAGTTAGCAAGTTAGGGTGTCTAATCTTCACGTGATATTCAACATCTAATACAGAGGCTGGTAAACCCATGGAACGGTCTACCAGCCCAGGCTGTGGAATGAAGCGTAGTGCTTGGCTTCAAAAAGCCATTACATAACTATTAAGAACAATGGGGGATCCTACACAGGCCTCTGGCCTCCTTCTCTTGGCATGGCCACCCATAGTTAAGGCAGGTAAAATAAGGTAAATAGTGGTATGAGATGCGCGCGTTACTGCTACTGCTATACCTGCATTGCACTATGTATAATAAATATAGTACTACCTGTATACAATATTATTGTATACCTTACTATACAGTACTATACAATATCTACAATGTTTATATACATGCTGAATTTGTGTGAACTTGTATCAAGAGTTTTCTTAATAAATATTAAATCACATATCTATCCTGCGACACAGTATACGTGAAGTGGACTTAATCGGTTGGTAAAATCTTGCTACGTGTTGCACTTGCACCCTCACTCACAGGTCCTGGACGTGTCCATACGGTGCACACTGCCACAAATAGGTTGCCAGTTGATGATTTAACACTTATTATCATAGCTTACCAAAAGAAAAACATGTTATGAAAATCTATATGTAAGAACTCAACAAAATTCTGAAGATATTTTTTTCTGAAAGAGGAATGCTTAAAAGAGAGGCAGAATGTAGATGAATAATAATTGGTCTGCGTCTCTGAAGCAAAGCAGCAGCAGCAGCTGACTCATATCCTACCTACCGCAGCTCGCATCAGGATCGGCAACGCACTGTTTAAAGTATTTCTGGTGCAGTGTACACACCTCTATGTGGCAATTTAACATTATCTACTACTGATACTGTGTAATTGGTTAAAAAGTACTGTGTGACTTATGGATAAGAAGCGACGAGTCATAAATCACTATGACCCTCTAAAATGCCGACGCGTTGACTTCAGTGACGCCCCGCCACACAACACACTCATCTACACTGACTATAATAGTCTTGGGTGGCCGGACAGCATTACCACCCAGACTGATACACCTATTCGTCCACAAGACGCAAAGAAGAAATCCCGGGATCTTAGACATCTATTGAATGAGAGGAAATATGCAGACGTTGAAACTGGTATGGTTAATGAAACTCGTGACGCAAGGGAGATATCCCGGGATCTTAGACATCTATTGAATGAGAGGAAATATGCAGACGTTGAAACTGGTGTGGTTAATGAAACTCGTAAGTACTTCCTATATAAGGCAAAGTAGATAAAATTGTAAATATGTTCACTATACCTAACCTAACGTGGATAACATAAATCTTGATAAAATCACACGGGGAAAAGGGAAACGATGTAGAACCTTAGCTTTCGTCTTTATTCAAGACATCCATTAATCCACACACCAACCCTTATAAGAACGGGCGACATAGCAACCGTAGTCATGTCAAGTCCGATAAAAAATATGAGACCCACTAATCATCTATCCTACATCTACCTCAAATGCTTTCAATCCATATTTAACCTTGGGCCACTGACAAATAAAATTGTGTAACTTGTCAGTTTTGTACTGACAATCACTAAGGTTTAAATAATTTATCTTATCAAACTTGCTTCAACTAGAAGTCTTTCTGTGACTCATGATGATTTATACACTTCTAAACTGTTTTCCCAATCCATGGGATGATTATTGTTCCTTATATGAACGAAAATTGCACTGCTTTCAGATGCCGCTATAATATTGTACTTGTGCTGTTTAATTCTGAGTTGCAATGCTTTCAGTCTGACCTACATAATTTCCATTGCAATTGCTACATGGAATACAGTAAACACTTCCATTTACATTCAAGGTTGGGCTAGTCTTAATTAATATATTAGTAATAGTTGGGTCATACTTAAAAACAACATTAATGACCTGACCTCATGTTTTTAAGGTCACCCTGTATATTTAAGCCTCTCTCTGTCCATGTAATCCAGTTGCCTCTGAAGATGTCTTGAATAAAGACGAAAGCTAAGGTGCTCCGTTGTTTCCCTTTTCCCGTGTGATTTTATCAAGATTTATCTTATCCACGTTTTCATTGTGGATATATATGCTGATAACCACACGGAAAAAAGAAAACACAAAGTTCCCAAGCGCTTTCGTGTAATTCACAGCTTTAGGGGTGAGTACAGACTAAAGAGAAATAGAAACCAAGGTGTATATATACAGAGGAGGGTGAGACCAGGTCCACAATGGTCAGGTATTAGGTAATGACCCTACTAATCTTTAAATAGCACACAACGGTTGGTGATCAGGTCAGAGGGTAAGGTGACCCAACCTTCTCACCTGGTTACAAATCTTCTTAATTACAAAATTGTCCAGCTTGTACATGCCGTTACTTAAATTCATGTTGAATGCTTCGGTATGTTTAATAAGACTAGATTCTATGATGTTCCTACTATCAATTGAATTACAAGGTAATATTGAGGAGGCATTACCCCAGTCAATGCAATGCTTGTTATTCCTCAAATGAACAAACAGAGCATTGGATTCCTGGCCTGTCCTAACACTGTATTTGTGTTGTTTAATTCTAGTTGCAAGATCTTTACCTGTTTGGCCTAAGTAAAACATATTACATTCCTTGCAAGGAACTTTATAAACGCAACCAATTGTGTTGTTGGGGGAGTTCTTGATTAACATTTGTTTAACAGTGCATGAGTTTTTATATGCCACATTGACGTTCCTGTTTTTTAGTTGTGAAGGAATGTGTAAGAAATTTTTGTGAAATGGTTAATATTAAGATATTCTTATGGTCATGGGTGGGCTTGGGATCAGTTCTATAAAAAGTTTTCTTAGTAATGTTTAGGCATTTGTCTATGAAAGGTCTAGGGTATTTAAGGTTTGAGCCAATATTATAGATCACGCGCACCTACAGTAATTTACTTGCATGCATATATATATATATATATATATATATATATATATATATATATATATATATATATATATATATATATATATATATATATATATATATATATATATATATGCAAGTAAATCACTGTAGGTGCGTGATATATGTGATAACCTTGTGGTTATCAGCATATATATGTGTGTGTGGATAACGCGCACCTAGTGATTTACTATATATATATATATATATATATATATATATATATATATATATATATATATATATAGAGAGAGAGAGAGAGAGAGAGAGAGAGAGAGAGAGAGAGAGAGAGAGAGCTGGCTTGTGACTACCGTCAGCGTCATGGTAAACAAACATGGACAGGTCCATGACGTGTGCGGGTGAGGGGAAGCGGTGGTGATGTGGTACCAGCCCCGGAATTTCTCCTCAGTTCTTTGTCAGCCACCGAACTACCGAGTGTGACACGTGTGGCATGAGTTGATACCGTACGTCATAGGTGCTGTAACCGTAACCTAATGGATCACTGAAGCTTAAGGTCAGTCTAATATTAAAACCGAAGACCAATGAGTGTAAATATTATGCCTGTTAATTGAGAGACATCCTCATTCAGACAGTTTTCAGAGACGGCCGATGTAACTATGCACTTGTAACATACCAGGTTAACGTGACGCATCCTACTCGAGTATCAGCTAGATTGCACACGGATTTTTTTTTAATACTGACAATTTATATACCCAAATCTAGAAATGACTAGTTTAATTATATCTACACTCAATGCACCAAACAAATGTGGGAAAAACTTCAAAAATGATAGGAAATTATTTTTTATATATGGTCTGGGAAAAACCAATGATAGGTTATATTAGTTAGCTTAATAATTTTGGGGTTAGAACAATACCCCATAATTATAGGCAGCCCAGCCAAGAGATGGGTTTATTATTATTTTCTTATTAATAAAAATTGGGTAATTCTGAAGCTAACCTTTGTTTTTAATACATGTACAATATACTGTAGAGGTAAAAGGTAAGCTCATGAAGGGTTTACACTTGGTTAATAAACATGACCTGGACTTCAGTATGACAAGAGGTGGTACTTGTGTAGATTTCAAATGTGAATTGATTTTCTTCTATGGTATTTCTTGTGTAAATTGATATTCTCTAATGGTAGAAAAAATGATGTATCTTGAAATATGAGTCAGGTTGTTAGATTCTTTTGGGGTTTCTTTGTTCTTGTTAGGTCAGGTACAGTACGCCACAATTTCCCTCAACAGTACAGTCTTCTCTCCATAACATTCATTTGTACAAAAAAATGATGGTCAGAATCACGCAAATTGGCGAAATCCATCAGAAAAACCAAATTCATGCCAAAGTCTAGGTCGTATGCTTAAACCAATTACGGTACCTTAACCTTATAAGAAATTACTTATCGTGACCAACCATTAATTAACCCCTTTGTTTTAATGTTCTTGATACTGTTCATATTGAGTACTATAACAGTATACGTACATAAGAATGGAGGAAACTGCAGCGGGCCTTCTGGCCCATACTGGGTAGTCCCATTTACACCCAACCCCTATTGTCTATATATCCATCCAACCTATGTTTGAAGCTATCCAGCGTATTCGAGTTAATGATGAAGTTTGGTAACTTGTTCCAATCATTCACTACTCTATTTCCAACCCAATGTTTACTTATTTCTCGCCTAAATCTAAATTTGTCTAATTTAAAACCATTGTTACGAGTTCGCTCCTGGTTAGATAGTTTGAGTACCTTTATAATGTCGCCTTTGTTCAGCCCTGACTTCCATTTATAAACCTCTATCACATCGCCCCTCGCTCTACGTATCTCGAGTGAGTGCAAATTAAGATGCTTTAACCTGTCTCTGTACTCAAGGTTCCTAATGCCCGGATTAGTCTTGTCATTCTCCTCTGAATTCTTTCCAAGGATTCTATATCCATTCTGTAATACGGTGACCAGAATTGAACTGCATAATCCAAGTGAGGTCTCACAAGCGCAAGATATAGTTTTAAGATGACCTCACTAGTCTTGTAACTAACACTTAGAAATAAGGCAAACAGAGTACAGTATTAGGTTTCATATCTAGAAGTGTAAGTAATTAGAGTGCAGAGGTCTTAATTGCAACTATATCTTGCGTTAGTCAGGCCGCACCTCGATTATGCAGTTCAATTCTGGTGCCCTTATTATAGAATGGATATCAATTCACTGGAGTCGGTGCAGCGAAGAATGACAAAAATGATTCCGGGACTTAGAAATCTTCCATATCAAGATAGGTTAAAGAAACTAAACTTGCATTCCCTAGAATGACGAAGAGTGCGGGGAGATATGATAGAAGTATTTAAGTGGGTGAAAGGAATCAATAAAGGCGATATAGATAAAGTTCTTATAATATCCGAGCAGGATAGGACTCTCGTAGCAACGTATTTAAGTTGGATAAGTTTAGGAGGGAGATAGGAAAGAACTGGTTCACAAATAGGGTGGTGGACGAGTGGAACAAGCTTAGCAACTTTTTAGTAAGTGCTGGAATGCTGGAGAGTTTTATTAGAGGCTAGATAGTTTCATGGATGATAGAGAGTGGTAGTAACTCTCGACAGGAGCTGCCATGCACAGGCCAACCGGCCTATTGCAGACTCCATATTTTCTTATGGACCCAAGTACTTTATTAGCCTTGTTTTGAGCAAATACACATTGTTTACTTGGCTTAAGATTCCTACTTAACATAACTCCTAAATCTTTCTCTTGGTCGGATTCCTCAATAACATCGTTGTTCATCTGGTTTCCCTGTTTGCATTTCCTATACTGAGTACGGTACTTTACATTTGTCCACATTGAATTTCATCTGCCATTTTTCATGAATTTCATCTCCCATTTTTCAGACCATTCAAAATTTTTTTTTAGATCTTCATGTAATTTCGCGGAGTCCTCATCAGATTTAATTGCAAGCCCAATTTTAGTGTCATCAGCAAATTTACTTATGTTGCTGTCTACGCTGATATCTATGTCGTTTATGTATACAGTATAATAAATAATAATGGTCCGACTACTGAGCCTTTGGGAACTCCACTAGTGACGTTGCCACCGGTGTATACTGTCCTGTAACCACGCCCTAATCCATTTTAGAATATCGCCTTTAATGCCATGAGCCTCTACTTTTCTATTATTCTGTGAAGGGGGACTCTGTCGAAGGCTTTGCTAAAGTCGAGATATGCCACATCATAATTGTGCCCCTTGTCCACTGATTCGAAAACAGATGAAAAGAATGTTAATAGATTAGTTAGACATGAATGCCCGCTTGTGAAGTCATGTTGGGAATCATTGATCAACTTGTGCTTCTCCAGGTGATTTTGAATAGAGTTTGAAATGATTGCTTCCAGTAATTTGTTTACAATTGATGTTAGACAGATTGGTCGGTAGTTAAAGGATAGTGATCTGCCTCCCTTCTTGAAAATCGTATTACATTAGCTATCCTCCAGGATTCTGGTACTACACCCTTTTTTAAGGACATGTTAAACACCTTTTCTAAGGTGCATACTAAGCTCTTCCTTACATTCCTCTAATACTCTGGCAAATATCTCAATGGGACCTGGTGACTTATTAGGCTTTAGTTTGTCTACTTGCTTACTAACATCATTACTAGTCACTACTATCTCTTAATTTATTTTCTTCACTATCTCTATAGAGTCGGTGCCTCGGGTATCATGTTTAAATTTTCGGTGGTGAAAACTGTTGAAAAATATTTATTCGCCTCCCTTGCTATCTTCAGTTCATTTTTCCTCTTTGCTTTTCTTATCTTAGTCTTGACCCTACCGGCGAATACCTTATAATAATCTCGGAGGTAGACTTCACCATGATTTATTTTCCAACCTATACAGGTAACCATCCTTTATCCAATGATATTCTTTAAATAATTCTTTATCCATTTAGGGTCATTGTTGTACAGTACACTGTACATATAAATCATCGATATCCTTTTGTTTATATATGCTATTTTAAATGGTAAACTGTTACTACTAAAGATACCATTGGGACTTGGTTGTGATGTAAAAGTGTATTTACAAATTAGTCGTGGTCTATGATGTATATACAGTACCTGTACTCGTATTCGATAAGGGAGAAAATAGTTTAAAATGAGGATTTTTACTAATATTCTTTGCCACTGGTTGGCTACAAATTGCCTAATGTTGGCAGCAGCCATAAAAAGTAAATTTAGGAGGAGTCTTTTGGCTTTTGTTTTGGCCATTACAGATACACATTTTATTGCTGGTCTGTTTTTCTTGTCAAATTTTCTCTTTCCTTTAAGGGTGACCATGAAAGGTATGATATAATGTTAACGGTAAGAACAAATAATACAATTTGTGAATGTTAATTTGTGTAAGATATGGTAATTAATGCACCTGTATTTTAATTTTATAAGGGCACTGGTTATTTTGGGGGTGCTCTACAAATACTGTAGTACTCTAGCCAAATGACATAACTCCTTCCTCACTTACAAGCCTTATGTACCAAAATGAAGATTGAAGAAAATTTTTTGGATGACAGTGGATATTAATTAGTGACATGGATTTCCTCCCTTTTTCCCAGGTCAAGTTTGAAATCAATAAGAAACTTAAGAGGAGTGTTGGTGGTACTGCAATAACATGATTATATCTCACGACTGTGTCCTTGGGTCATATTCTGGCCTGGGACAGATGGGAGAATGTTGTTATCAATTTTGATATATCAAACATGACTGGTTTTCACCTTGTACTATATACTGTACACAAGATTCCTGCTGTACTTGATAGCCCAAATGGCTGAGAAAGTGATGAAATGATAAATAAATGAGGAAAATAAGGTGGATTGTAAAATAGTGACTGATTTAGTTTGCATCCTCACGTGTCTGGGATCAGTTAGATTGTTTTGGTTGTACTGTATGGTACAGTACTGTGCTTATTGCATATTTTACACCAGGAAGAATGTCTCCTCCTTTAGAGCATTCCACATCTTGTGGAAAGAGGCAGAAAGTGTTTGAATGTAGTTATGTCATTTAAGGTCAATTGCTTGTTTCTCAGCAATTCATATCTGACAACTAAACTGTAGTAATACAGTACATTTTTTTATTTTTTTTTTAAACGGGGATTAGCCCACCCGGGCACAGGTCACTGATCCACACCGGGGCCTGGGGGGCAAAAATGTAAGAATAACAATAATTCTTTTAAGTTAAAAATGCCATTGTCACTTAATAAATTTAATAACTATTTTTGCTTATTTATTTTATTTTTTTACTTGCAGATATGATTAATACATTTAAAAAAGATATGATTAATAAATTTATGAAATATTTTTATATCTTCATTTTTTATTTATTTTTTATTTGCAGATATGAGCAATATGAATTGGCAAGGACCTGGCGACAATTATGGTATTCGTGGAGGTTATTCCAACGTCAGGTGTGAAGTCCAAGACAGAAATGAAAATGTGAACCATTTTAGCCATCCAAGTGAAGAAAGGGGTGATGGCAGGGGTCGAGGGCGTGGCTGGGGCCGAGGGCGTGGCAGGGGTCAAGGGCGAGGCAGGGGTAGAGGACGAGGCAGAGGCACTGATTTTAATGATACCAGAGGAGCTAAAAGTCTTGAGTCCCTGAGTAACTTCTCATCAGCTGACAGTAAGTTCAGGAATACAAGCAACAGGGGTAACAGACGGGAAAGGAATTATCCCATGGGTTACAAAGAACTAGAAAGAATCCTTACATTACCCTCTGATGCAGTGGCTTTTGAATTGTTAAATGAAAGATCAGGTTTTCGTCTACTTCTAGAGGAAGATAAGATGTCACTTGATAAATTAATCCTTCTGGTAAAAGTTCTTTCACAGGCAACAGGAACCCAGTCAAGCAAAGAAAATTTGTATGAACTATTCAATAGAACCTGTGAACAGAGGTTTATGGATAAACTTTGTACTTATTCCATCTCAATTAAGCGACAGTGTCCTGACAAAGCCAAGGACTTCTTCGCACACCTCCATGTATTCATAGAAGCTTATGCAAATGCAATGACAACCACTGCTATGAACCGGTTACCTGATTTAGTAGATATATGCATTTCAACTTTGACATATTTAGAACAAAATAATTTTGTTTCCAAAGAGCTTGTGAAACAATATAACAATCTGCAGGACATGCTGACAACAGCATCTAAATCCTGGGAACAAAAATTGAAGCATCAAGCTCAAGGAACGAGAAAGGGGATGAATGAAATGGACCATATGGCACCACCTGATGATTTTAAGGAGCTTTCAGTGTTTCCTACACCACTGGATTTTATGACAATTCATCGTCCATTTCTTCGTCGAAACTTGACACAAGGAAAGTATGATGATGGTGAACATTATTTAGATGTTCAGTTTCGATTACTTCGTGAAGATTTTGTAAGGCCTTTGAGAAATGGAATTAATGATTTCAAGGGGAAGAATCATTCAAAGGTTAGGGATGTAAAAATTTACAGAGATGTTGCTATTGTATCATCTCAAGTAAAGAGTGACACAATAATTTATATGGTACAGCTAAATATGTCAAAGAAAATCAGATTGGAAACTTCCAAGCGTTTATTATTTGGTAATCTTCTGTGTTTCACAAATGATGGTTTTAAAACTTTGATTCTAGCTTCTGTTGCCGAGAGAGATCCAGAGAAATCAAAGGAAGGAATTGTTGGAGTTCAATTTGAATCTGATATTGAACAGCTGGACTTGAGTGGAAGGTTCATTATGGTTGAGTCCAAAGCTTATTTTATGGCCTACAAACATGTCTTAATGGCACTACAAAATATGTCAGGAAAGACAATTCCTATGGCACCTTATATTATTAAGGTAGAACCGAATGTTGAAGCTCCAAAATATTTGACTGGAGGAGAGAAGTACGATTTGCGGGTCATGAAGAATGATAATATGATGAAAGAGTCAGAGGCACACAGTTCATTGTTTCATTTTATCAGAAATACTGGTACTAATGAACCTGAAGATGTTGAGGAACCTGAAGATGTTGAGGAACCTGAAGATCAATGTGATCCTCTTATGAATGTGGTTTTGGCGAAAGATTTGTCAGCCTGGCCATCTGAAGCCGAGCTTGGTGTTGATAGCTCTCAGTGTAGAGCTCTTAAAAGTGCTCTGACACGTCAGCTAGCAATCATTCAAGGCCCTCCTGGTACAGGAAAAACCTTCATAGGTCTCAAGATCACACAGATTCTGTTGCATAACAGTAATGCTTGGAAAGAGAAACAAGATTCAACACCAATATTAGTTGTGTGCTTTACTAATCATGCACTGGATCAGTTCTTGGAAGGAATGACTACATACACAAGCAACATTGTTAGAGTAGGTTCTAGATCCAAGAGTGAAACAATCAACCAATTTCAGATAAATTCATTATTGCGTACACTTCGTGCAAATCATGATGTTCCAAGAGCCGTCTTTGAGAGGAACTTTGAATTACGGAATGAGGTAAGGAACATAGGATATAAAATCAATGAATTGAGGTGCAATATTGAAAAATGTAAATCTGGAAAAGGCATACTCCCTCTAGATACCTTCGAATCAGAAGGGATTATACCCCCACATTTACAGCATCAGTTGAGGGCTCTCTGCTGTGATAAGAAGTTAACAGGATGGTTACTACTTAATATTCAACCTGAAACAGGATTATTTCACAAGCAGCTCCAAGTGGCCAAATTTAATGTAGTAGATAAACCCAAATCCTCAAAACCCACTTCTTCAAAACTACAAACAACAAGAGGAACTGTGGAAAAAGAGGAAGGTGAACTATCTGAAGATGAATTTAAAGATGCTGAAGAATTCCTTAATATTGAGGAGCAAGACAGACTAGTAGAGGATCATGAAATTGATGATTCTGCCATAATACATGGACAAATAAAATCGTTACGGTTTGAAACAACAGATAATCAGCTTAGAGAAGAAATAGTAAATGCATCGTATATGTTACAAGAAAACGAGGGTAATGAAGAGGCTTATTACAAACAGATTGTAACCACTGCACAGAGGGAAGCATTAAACATTGGCCTTGAGCTACCAGAAAATCCTGATGTAGTGTGCGAGTTGGAAAATCAGGAGCACTTTAACATATTTCATACCGACTTTCCCCAGAGGTGGCAGCTATATAAACACTGGCTGGGAAAACTCCTTCACAATATGACTAAAAAACTCAAAGCTTTGGAGTCAAATTGCCAAAAGAAGTCACGAGCCCTACGAGAGACACGGAACCAAGAGTACCTGTATGCCATGCGTAGTGCCTCAGTGGTGGGCATGACAACAACAGGTGCAGCACAATATAACAGCATTATGCAAGACTTGGCCCCATCCATTGGTAAGTAAGGATTATGTGCTGTATACAGGTACTTGCAATATTAGAGTGAAGGTACAGTAAACATTTGATAACTCAGCATTTTACATAACTCGGCATGGATATGGTCTTAATATGTACAGTATTCGTATAACGTGTGAAATGCAGATATATATATATATATATAATTATCTGGGAAAATATAAGCATATCTGACCACCTGCATCACTTACAATGCCTCTGTGTTGCCTACTATTGTACTTTATATATTATATAAAGTATTGTACATTACCCTTTATTCTGATGTATATACCCAGTACAGTACTTCATTTTTGTACAATACAAATGAAAATTTTTCTTGTACAGTATAGTAATTCATTGCGATATGTTTGTCTTTATTTACCGGTATTTAGTATGGTTTGTCTTTATTTATTTAGTATGGTTAAATTATATTTTGCTTTGCATACAACACTGCTTTCATTTTAATGGTATTTCTTTAGTCCAGTATTTGCAGTTACAGGTACATTGTTTACATAAAGTAACAGAGTACTGTATTATGTAGTCTCGTAAAACCAATTATTTTTTACATACCTCTGTATTTTTTGTATTATTATGACTAGTAGAGGCAAGAACATTTTTAATGTGGTTAATATTTATCTTGGTAAATACTTTTATGCAGATTGTAACCTTTGAATAAAATCTTAGCAAGCCAAGACTAAGGGAAAAAAGTACAATAAATATTCAAATGTTTATTGCAATACTGTACAGGTTGTACCTCTCTAGTCCGGCATTCTGTGGTCCGGAACGATATTAGTTTGTGCAATTGGTAGATAGGCAGTTTTTTTTTTTTTATCTGAATTATTATTATTATTACAGGAGTATTAAATTTTTGCCCCTCAGGCCCCAATGTGGGTCAGTGACCTATGCCCGGGTGGGCTAATCCCCTTAAAAAAAAAGCCGCGGGAAATTAAGGTTTGTTTACATCCGGCAGTTCGGCTGCTCTCTCTCTCTCTCTGCTTGTCTATACAGAGTACAACATTTAACCCTTCAATATATATGAGCAGTAAATAAGTGTTGCTTTCATATTCTTATGTAGAGTAATGACGATATATTTTCACATGTGCGCACTTACATACGAGCAGTCTCACTTTTTTTTACTATTAATGGTTAGCTACTTATATTGTTCCATTTATTAACATTAAATAACATTACAGGTTCTTCAAGCAACCATATTTATTTTTTACTTTAATTACTACAGCTAAGCTCAGGGTCTTATTTTCTTCAGTTTTATATGTAGAACCAATGAGTCACTGGTTTTGTAAGCTTTAACATAAACAATGCCGGCAGCCGTCTCGTCTCCTCTAATATTCCACGTATTATTAATAAATTGTATTGTTAATTTTGCACACGTACATTAATTCAATAAAAACAAATTCAGAAACATTAATTAAAATATATATGAACAGTAAACAAGTGTTGCTTTCATATTCTTATGTAAAGTAATGACGATATGTTTTCACGTGTGCGCATGCGCACTTACATATGCGATCTCTCTTTTTTCTTTACCATTATCGTTAGCTACTTCTATTGTTCCATTTATTAACATTAAATAACATTACTTAAAACAACCATACTAATTTTACTACAGCTACAACCAAGGTCTTATTTTCTTCAGTTTTATATGTAGAACCAGTCAGTCACTGGTTTTGTAATCAACGAAAACAATGCTGTGTTATTTCCTCGTGTGTTTTAATATTCTACGTATTATTAATGAATATTATTGCTCATTTTGCACACATAAACATTAATTCAATAAAAAAGACATTCAGTAATAAACAATAATGAATCTTTTGTACATAAGAGAAATGACGCTGTTTACACGATTATGCACGTCGTCTGCACGTTGGCGGGCCGTTCAAACCCGTCGAAATTCAAGTTCCGCCGTCAAAATTTTTATTTATTTATATTTTTGTGTGTTCCAATAAAATACGTTAAGAATTAAAAACTCGCGAAATTTGAGAAGCTATTATACGACATTTAACCCTTCAATATGTCTTCAAAGAGACCATGACGCAGAGAAAGTGGTGCTAGTGCTTCCAGGCATAAGCACAAGTCACTATCTATCCAGGAAAAGGGTGAATTTCCATGGTCCGGCACCGGTCAGGTCCCGAGGTTGCCGGACTAGAGAGGTACAACCTGTACTGTACTGTGTAAAAGTTTAAATTTTTGTACAATATCAGTGTTTGGTCATTGTATCAGTGTTTCGTCATTGCTCATTCAGGTAGTATTTAATAGTGCCCAAATTTAATACTGTAATGGCATTGGGTAAACTGGGTCAGTAATGCAGAGGACACCTTCAGCTTACTCCATACATTTTAGCTGGTTAGGGACTTTAACCTTAACTCTAACACCCTCTTGTTGAACCTTACCCTTAATCAACATATTTGTGCATTGTTATTGTTGGCCACCCCTGGAAAATAACACCTTGTGTGTACTTGTCTGTAGCAAATTGAAGACTGAAGTGTAGTGTTTGCAGCCATGATGCTAATAATGGGTTCATGACCCATTTGAACAGCTTAAGTGTCCAAATTTTTGGTACCAAGCTCTGAATGAACAACTTACGAATTGCATATTTTTAACTGTGGAAATTATTTTATCTTATGCTAGCTTGCAAATAGTCGAGCACTTTAACCTCAAACCTTGTCTCTATAAAATAGTTGCAAAAGCAATTCTGTGAAGGGCTTTTGTATGACCAGCAAGGCCCTACTGTACTGTTTAGAAAAGTACCATGTATGTAATTTTAAAGTTTTTACCAGTTGTTACATAGCTTTTGCCATTAATTATTATACAGTATTAATGTTCAACACTGTACTAGTAATCACTGTTTTGTGTAAGTGACGTGGCTACTGTACTTAGTATTGATTCTTTACAAATTTGATTTTAAAACTCCATGGAACAAATTATGCGCTGTTTTGTGTGAGGATAGATTATTATTATTATTATAATTTTTTATCCCCATGTTAAACTATTCTTTTCCGCAGTCATCATTGAAGAAGCAGCCGAAATTCTCGAGTCCCACGTTATTACCTCTCTTACTGCCAAGTGTAAGCACCTCATCTTAATAGGCAAGTTTTCTTTCTCTCCCTACCTCCCAACCATATCTGATTAGCCTTCCACATTATGTGAGTCTGGCTATTTAAAAATTTTAATGGTTTTACGATGAACTGAGAGAGACCAGATGTTGATTTTAATTTTATGGCACTGAAGATGTTGGAATTTTTCATAAATATACTGGTTATCACTTTTAGTAGATTATTTATACTCATGATTATCCTCATCTTTTAAATGCCTAGTGTAAAACTAATGTAACTGAATATGAATTGCAGTACTACATGTGTTTCTGTATTTATTATTACTGTATTACCTAAATACTCTTTCAAATAGGAGATCATCAACAGTTGCGCCCCAGTGCCACAGTATATGAACTAGCAACCAAATATGGACTGGAAACTTCACTGTTTGAAAGATTGATTAAGAATGGTCTGGCGTGAGTATTATGGTGTATTGTTTGTTAAGTACATACTGTTATCTGATTTTCTCCTTCCTCATAACCTCAGGTCAACCTGCGTTCACCTCTTACCAACTCGTCCATAAAAATGTTAAACCTCCATGATGACATTACACATCCTTGACAAAGTACATTTTCATTTGAAATCGGTTTCATTCTTCTCATCACCCCTAAACGTGCGTGTGTTTCTCACTTTAAGCTGTGGATAGGATTCTACAGTTTCTTGTTTGTTCCATGCACTTTCCAATGATTCTAACACTGATTTACAGTACTACTTCCATCATATTTTGCTTTTTCCCTTTCCTGGACTCCTGCTGCATCAATGATTTTATAATATTTAGACATCAGCTTATTACTTTTAGATATATTTTACACGTAACTTTTTCACCACCTGTCATCTTACTACTGCACTGCATGTACTGTATAGCCACCTTGCCTTTTTCTAATTTTAGAATTTTCAAGGCTATAATAGTTCTTCAGACATTTTCCATGGGATGATTAGCATATTTTTTAAAGAAGGTGATTGGGGGTGATGCTTTGCACTTGTTAATGTGCTCCTTGGCTTTATCAAAGTTAAATGTAATTTCCTTCTCTGCAGGTATGAGACCCTTGAGTATCAGCACCGAATGAGACCCAGCATTTCCAGGTTGCTGGTGCCATCCATTTATCCTGAGCTGAAGAACCATCCTTCAGTTGATTTGTATCCAAGAATAAGGGGCATTACCAAAGATGTATTCTTCATTTCTCATGAAATCCCTGAACGAGAGGTGTGTAGTAGTACATACAATTAAACTACTCCTGTAAATATAAGGGAAGGTTGGTGGAATGTCATCTGTTGTGGTCAGTGCCATGGAGTAAGGACTAATCTAACCTTTATCATCTGGGGGTTGTTACTCAAGTGTGAGAAATCGCTGAAAGGAGTTATACTTATGTCTCTTCTTAGTCTACACATGTTAATGTTGATATTCATGCTACAGATATCTAGGGAGACTTTGAGTTTTTCTCTTTCTACTCTCGTGAACAGTATCTTGGAAAATGGCTAACAAATATTCGTGAAATGTTGTGTTGAATCATTATTTGATGATGTACAGAATACCAGATTCAAGCATGTGTTGGTTAAGATCAAATTGGAGCACAAGTCTCATAATACTCCAGGTGATTTAGTGAAACTTTTTATGGTTATAAATTTCCTCACAACTGAAGTTTAACTATTATTAGTCCATATATTATAGCCATCACTGTCATCATCATAACTGGGTTCATTATATAGTAATCTTTGATTCCTTCTCAGGACACTGACGACAACAACAGCCATGAAAATGCATATGAAGCAGAATTCATGATATGCTTGTGTAGGCATCTACTGTTACAAGGTTATTCTTCAAAAGAGATCACTATCCTAACACCTTACTCTGGACAGTTCTTCCTGCTGCGCAAGGTTTGTCTGCATATATTTGTTTTCACATTACTGTAAGGCTTCAGTCTATAGCATTAATTCGTGTGGAAACCAAGTTCTTTAAATATTGAATACCCGGTATCCAGTTTATAAAATTTTAGCTTGACAACATAAGTTATTTTAACACTATTGTGCATAGACAGCCTTTGAATACCTCAGTTTAGGATGTTATCCTGAAACGGACAAGACAACATTATTCATTATCCCCAAATTTTTATGTAATGCCTGTTAATTGTCTTTTCCACAATCCTGAATGTAGACCTATATTTATACAACCCATGATTACAAATAATACTGTTAATATAATTTTTCTATAGTAATTATGTACTGTGTTACCCATGAAAAATGTCAAGGGGATAATTTATCACTACATAATTGAGAAACCATGCTTCAGAGAGTTGCGATCTTGCCTTTTAAGCTGTTCACAACCTGTGGGTTGGTGGTAGGAAGGACATTTGGCCATAAAACTGTACTTCAACCGGGTCTCCAGAGCTGTGCCCATCCCTGGGTCTAGGCTGCATTTTCTGGCTTGTGCCCTGGGATTGCAATGGTGAAGGGTGGGGGTGGGACATACTGTTATGGTTTTAGTACCATTTTACTCTAAAGCTGCCATCTGAGAATTAATCTACATTTTAAAGTGTTCCCTATCTGCTCATAAGCTAAATACAAGAGTAGATGTGAATGTGTGTGTTTGAACAGCCTTAATGGATTTCTCTTTACCACTAAATAATTTTTACCATTGCTGAGAGTAATCTTTCATTGTCAATCATATCCCTGTCAGATGTTTGGCATACATTGCCTCTGAATTTATCTTATGAAGGAATTTTTTAATTTTCTGCATTCACATTATGTAATATTGAAATAATTATTTCATTCCACAGATTCAGCGAGATCATACGGCATGTCATGGAGTGAAGATCTGTGTGGTGGATAACTTCCAGGGAGAAGAGAATAACATTATTCTGTTGTCTTTGGTGAGGAGTAATGTGGAAGGGAATGTGGGCTTCCTTCGCACTGATAACCGGATCTGTGTTGCCCTTTCACGTGCTAAGCATGGGTTATACATAACTGGAAACATGGAGCTCTTGAGTGCCCACAGTGAACTTTGGAAGAAGATTAAAGAAGATCTTGCAGAACAGGGTGCCATTGGTAATATATTAACTCTACAGTGTGAAAATCACCCTGATAAGTTAATCTCAGTGTCTTCAGGTGAAGATATTTTAAAGAAAAGTCCTGAAGGAGGATGTCTTCAAACATGTGGGAGTTCTCTACCACATTGTAACCATTCTTGTCCTAGGCTCTGCCACTTGGATGATCGTGACCACACTGAAGTTCAGTGCCGAGTACCTTGTCCCAAGATTCTGTGCGAGTTAGATCATCCATGTCCAAGGCAGTGTTGGGAGGAATGTACTCCATGTGAAGTTCTTGTTAACAAAGACCTACCATGTGGTCATAGTCATATGGTTCACTGTCATGTTAAGCCTGAGGTGTATAAGTGTCCAACTCCAGTAACAAAGGAAATACCTCACTGCCAGCATGAAGCTATAATGCCTTGTCATATTGATCCAAAATATTTCCTTTGTCCTACAGATTGTGACACTAGATTGGATTGTGGTCATAAATGTAGGCTTAGATGTCACCGTACAGTGGACCCTGACCATCTGACGTATAATTGTTTGGAAAGTTGTACAAGATTAAATGCAGGCTGTACAGAGAACCATCTATGTCAAAGGATATGCCATGAAACCTGTGGAGCTTGTATTGTAAAAGTTGAAAAAATTTTACCTTGTGGTCATAGAATGAAGAATGTGGAATGCTCCAAACCTGCAGAAGAGATCAAGTGCCGCAAACCTTGCAAGAAGACTCTCCCCTGTCAGCATCCATGTAAAATGCTTTGTTTCCAAGATTGTGGAAACTGTGCTTATAAAGTCCAGAAGACTATCCCAGGATGTAATCACACGGCTCAGGTGAGTTATTTGTTATTCCGTTGGTGGTGATGTACTTAAAAGGATCTGGTCGGCATAGGTTCTTGAAAAATGAGGCAAAATAATTAAATTTCTTCCATATTGAAGCTGAATATTTTCACTCCAGAATGATAACTAACATGCCAGATTAGGGAATCAATCGAGACTGCTGCATGCTGCATCTTGGGTAGAAATGTTAGTACAGTAGTATATATCATATACAGTATTCAGGATAAATTTTGCTGCAAAATTTACTTATTTAAGATTGAGTGTGGGCTGCTACCAACGAAGGACATGTGTGAAGGAAAATGCCCCCAAAAGTTGTCATGTGGACACCCTTGCGAAGCTCGCTGTAAGGACTTGTGTACTGTCTTGTGCAAGAAATTAGTCGTCTCGGCCATCAATTGTCCTAAAGGGCACTCCATCATGCTACCTTGTCATCTAAATAATACAGGTGTGTTAACTACCTTGCCATCTAAATAATAAAGGTGAGTTAACTACCTTGCCATCTTAATAATATAGGTGTGTTAACTACCTTGCCATCTTAATAATACAGGTGTGTTAACTACCTTGTCATCTAAATAATACAGGTGTGTTAACTACCTTGCCATCTTAATAATATAGGTGAGTTAACTACCTTGCCATCTTAATAATAAAGGTGTGTATACTGGATCATTAAATACTATGTTGTATTAGACCCTATATGAGTCACTCTTATTCTCGTTGGAAGATTTTATATATTTTGGTGCCATATTTAGTATAAACAACTGCCATTGTGCCTTTTTTTTTAATTCTTATAAAATTTGCTAAACTTAAAAAAAAAATTTAGGTTACCTGAATAAAATAATTTTGAAATTATATAGCACTTTTAAAAAAATATATAATTGCAAAAAATTTGGAAAAAAACAAAACGATAATATAATTTGAGTAAAACCTGTCATTTAAAATAACATGTAAATGAAAGTTCCCCTGATTGAGTCTTGGGCATAATATACACACACATTATTTATACAGCACCAGCAAGATTCTCTAGTTCTTAATAAGTCAACAAAATTCCTCTGCTCTATTCTAGGCAGAAAACAAGAGCTTGGTGATGATCCTTTCATGGAGATATGAGTACCTTCTGTGGAAGCCCAGTTTGTGAAATAAAATCTGGAGAAGTTCTATAATAATATATTTTTTTTTCCCACCCTCAGTAAATGGAGAAGAAGCCTGGTCATATTGTAAGGCGCCATGTAACCAGTTGCTGAACTGTGAACATAATTGTGTAGGTGACTGTGGAAGTTGCTTTCAAGGTCGTGTCCATGTCTTCTGCCGTCAACCCTGTAGAAAACCACTCGTGTGTGGACACATGTAAGTATATCTAGATGTGTAGCTATTTCCAGCTATTCGGTCTCTATTAACCCTCTCGTGCACAATAAGTCTTTTAAGTTTCTGTGACCAAGATAAAAGTCATAATAAAAGAATTTGAAATTATATAGCGCCAACCATTAAGGGATTACTCTGGGCCTCTTTAAGTTTGTCATCGCCTTACACGTCTGGGCATCTTTGTTTGGTGGGCAGTTTGTCCACAAAATTTTTTGGGGGCATAATTTTTATATTACTGGCATTGTTATTGATTTGGCTTTAACATAAGCTACAATATAAATAGATAAGACAAAAAAAGGATTTTTTTTTTCCAATGAGCTTTACAATGGTGGCTTTCAAATTCTTTTAAATCTAATAGTTTTTTAAAGTTGGTGGACTGACATTTTTCCCAAGTCAAGCTCCTAGACTATCTCTGTCATATGTTTTATGTATATACTGTAATCATATTGTGTGTATATATATATATATATATATATATATATATATATATATATATATATATATATATATATATATATATATATATATATATATATATATATATATATATATATATATATATATATTCCTTGCAAGGAACTTTATAAATGGAACCAATTGTGTTGTTGGTTGCAGTCACATATGTTACACAAAAATTTTGTGTGATTATCATGAAAACTTTTATGGGGGTCATGGTTCGTGAGAGGGATACTATTGAAATGTGAATTGGTGAGTATTTAAGTTCAAGATGTGAGAGTAAAATGTAGTAGGGTCAGAGTTAACTTTGGCAAGCTGTGAGTGTAGGTAGTTGAGGTGTGGCTGGTTGGTTCAATGACATCCACTCAAGATGATTATCATATGAGTTTATTTAATCTTTCTATATCCATTTCATAAGAATGTCATTTTTGCCATAATTCATCTTTTCCAGATGCAAGTATCCTTGCAGTGCTGATTGCCCTCCTTGTCAAGAAGAATGCCAGTGGCGCTGTAAACACAGTCGATGTAAAAAAAAATGTGGTATTCCATGTAATATGTGCAAGGTGAGAAAATCTCTCGTTATTAATAGTGTACAGATAAAACAATGAACTCCCTACTTTGTAGAATACCATTATGTATTTTGTCTCACACATGTAGAAACACTGTAACACTTACAGAATTTAGGAGGTAAGTTGTGTTGAATAAAATTAATAATGAAACCCTGCCTATTAATTAGCAATGTAAGTATAACTAATGTTTGAATAAATGTTCATGTTTATAGTAATTGCACCAGTCAGTATAATTTTCAAGTTGGTTGGTAAAAAATTGGGTATTTGCCAATGGCATTACTGTGAGCATGTCAGAAAGTTGAGGACAAAACAGTTGGGAATGAAATACGATTACCTGTACTACTGTCTGTTGTTGCACGGAAGACTGTAAGTGATGGTCAAACAAGGTGACAGGTGAAAAAAATACAAGAGTGGTGGGGTGGTTGTTGTTGTGGACTACTTTATGTAGATGTTAAGCTGATTAAGCTTAAGTATCATCGTAACTGGTTTATTGCAGCTTGTATGGGTTAGCCATGATAAACTGGTAGCAAATTTGAAGTGAGCATTATGGTTGGATGCTCTTCCTATTGCCAACCCACTTCACAGAGTGGGAACTGGCCATTATATTTAGGACTTCCAAAAGCCCCCTTAGCTGGCAAGGCAGGGTCACAATTAACCGAAACCATTGTTTCAATGGGTTTTTGGGTAATTGGTTCCAGCTCACCGAAAATTTCCTAAATTCAACAAAAATGGTAGAAAAGTTCACTTACTTTGAGGTGTGTATGTAGAAGGCTCTTGGATGATGATGATGGGATTTAGAATGGGGGTGAAGGAGAAGGAAGAAGAGAAGGCATTGGGGTGGAAGAGAAGTCACCCCATGGCGCCATTTCATCCATAAAATTTTAGCTCTCTTGGTGTAATTCAAGATTATTTTCTTTAAATCAACACTGCACTGCATTATATATTGTCAATATGTAAAATATATTTCAAAATGACCAATAATTTGCTTGGAAACACAGAAAAAAAGCGTTTAGTTGAAGAGTGTCTCAAGCAAGATGTTACCTCCAGTGAAAACAGAGAGAGACTAACTCCTGTTTGCTGTGTTAAGAGGCTGGATGCCGCGCATTAAACTAGTCACTTTACCTTCAATTATGTTCAATAATTGTTAAAATGACTAAAAAATTGAATATTAAACTTTTAAAATTTGAATAGTATAAACTTCTTGATATTTACTAAAATAGTAAGGAATTTAAGCCCTAGAACTGATTAATGTATTGGCGGACTGATACTAAAGCTGGTTGCCCGGTCAGTGCAAGTGAAAACATGTTGAGATCGGTTCGTAAGAACTTCGTTAACCGAATTTTTTTTCGTTAACCGAATTGAAGATCCTTATGGAAGGCAGTTCGTTAATCGAAATTACGTTAACCGAGGTGTTCGTTAAACGAGGGGTCACTGTATTTATATGGAGAGCTTCATATGAGTATTGTATTGGTAATAACACTATTATTGATATTGTGAATGTTATAAATGTATAAATCTCCATTTTCAGATGGAGTGTGATTGGAAGTGTAAGCACTTGCAGTGTATACAGCTGTGTGGAGACAGATGCTCAAGGAAACCCTGTGATAAGAACTGTCCCAGGAAGCTGAAGTGTGGCCACCCATGTGTTGGCTTTTGTGGTGATCCTTGCCCACCATTATGTCGGACTTGCAACTTTGATGAATTAACAGAATTTGTATTATTAGGGTATGAGGAGGATGGTGATGCCAGGTGAGGTGAAAATTATTTTTCATTTAGTTTTTGTTCTAACTTGATTCAGAATACATTATGCTGTGGCATTGTACTGTCCCTATCATTAATGCATTTACATGGGCTCATCAGGCTTTGTGCAGTGTGGCAGAGCTGTGTTTGTTTACATCCGAGAGAGGGAACTCGCAATAGTAATCATACTAGGGAGTCAAATTAAAACAATATTAAAAAAAAATCTCAATGTAATGATTTGTTGAGTGTTTATATGGCAAACCCCTGTAAATCACTAGTGAAGGGACTGTACTTGTAATGATACATTTATTGTTTCTATTCAGCAATTTCTATTTTCTTAGGTACAGTCATGTGTTTTCTTTTCATGTATAGTACTATGGTGGACAAAAGTCCCTTCCCTCAGGCCCCCCCCCCCCTCTCTTTCCCTCTTTGGTCCCCATCATACACACTATGCCATCTGTTGGGACAATTATTACAGCACTTCCCTCAGTTGCTTCAATATTCGAACCTCGGGTGATTCAGTCACATTGTGGCTGGCTGAGGGAAGGAACTTTTGTCCACCATAGTACATAATCAGTAGAACTTATCATGTTTACCAGTTGATACTTCATAAAATGGTAGCATTTACATTGATGTCTCGCACAAATTATTCCGCGGGGACATTTACAAAATAAAATATATATACAGTAATTGCAATTTTTCAACAAGATTAAAAGAAAAATTCAGTTTTCATTCTTCACTACTGAGAGCCAATATATTGCTTTGTTGAAGGTTCCATAGTTAAAGGCAGATACAAGGTGTGCCAGTGCAAAATTGAAGCACGTTTTGCCACTGGATGCCATTCTATTGCTGGTGTCAGACAGGGTCATCCACCTTCCGAAGATG